GGGAGAAACGTCGACTTTACTGAATCAAAGACGAAAAAGTCGAAATTCTGCTCGTAATTCGCGATTTTCTCGAACAAAACTTTCGAATTCCCACTTCGACCAATCATCGGGATTTTCACCAAAAACTTAAAGTAGTCGAAAATTTTCGAAATACACATCATTCGATTCAGCTTTTGATCCTGATTCTGAATATGATGTTTCTATTACACAAAAATTGAGTTTTGTTCGGGAAAATCGTGAATAACAGCAGAATTTCGACTTTTTCGCCTTTGATTCAGTAAAGTCGACGTTTCTCCACGAGGAAGCGAAAGTTTTCCGAACGCATGCATAATTTTTTTCGCCTTTTAGTGGCGGTTAGAATGATGTATAATTGTTGGGGAAAGCTTTTAATGCAAAAGACTATACTGATTTGGCGTACAGAGGTTTCAAAATGGCCATGGACGGACTTAGGCCATCTAGCTCAGGCGCTAGAATAGATAAAATGCTCTCGAACTTACACTTTTTACAAGTTTTTTTACAAGCTAGCCTAAAAATATTTTGACCTTAATTCTTTAGAGTATCATATGTGATAAAAATTATTTAAACTAATACACTCTTATAAAACAACAAGTAAGTACACTCTTATTCATCTGATTAGTGACAGTGTAAAACTATTCAGGAAATTACGTTTGTTATTTAACAAAAAATGTCTATTTCGAATTTATTTCTTCGTTTTTCTTTCTGTTTTATATTTACCTTTTAAGTATTGTTTATCATGTAATTGTTCTAATTGTTTCGAAAGATCTTTTATGTAAAATTGATATTGTAATAATGCGTCAATATTTTCGGTTCTTAATGCTTTATTAATAATTTTGTATAAAAATGTTTCTTTTGTATACCATTCAATAGCATTATGTTGTTGATATTCACGTTCAAATTTATTAATATATTGAATTTGTTTTGGATTATCAATATAATATGCTCGACATGCATCTAACATTTGTTTTTTTGCTTTTATATCATAATTATTATTATCTGTTGATGTTCGAAATAAAACTTCTATTAATAATTGATTCCACATAAATTTTGCTGCATTTTTTGTTAAATCTTGAAATGCTTTTTGATTTAATGTACTTATATTAAATGTAAATAATTGTTCTGTTGCATATTCTAGATCATTTGTTATATGTTTAATTAAATTTGACTGATCAGCAAATATATTTTGAATTTTTGAATATTGTAATGACCATTCATGATAACGTTCAATATTCATACAATAAATATATATTGAATGTATATGATTATAATCATGAATAAGTGGTATAATTTCTTGCCCTAATTTTCCCCGATACAATTAAAAATATTTTCATTTGTTCTAATATATGTAAGTCATTAATACATTTTTCTACATTTGAATATATTTGAACTGTATGGGTTGTCTTTTTTTCTAATTTTAATTTCATATCAATATCAATTTGATTATGATCAAGCCATAGAATAACAAAATCGTCAAAATGATTATGGTTCTTATTATTATTGTAACTATTGAGATTATCCAATGATGATGCTAAAGATGCGGGTGTTGATGATACTTTTATATATAATTCATTTGTTATTTTTGATGGTAATGATGCTGATGATTGACTATGTTTTAATGTTGATATTTTTAATTTACTGTTATGTGTGTCTGATGTTAAATTTTGTTTTGTTAATTTTGTGGATGTTGTATGAGATTTTTTAATTGATAAATTTCCTTTCGTTTGTTTTGGTTTTACATTAATTGATGATGTGACGGGATATAAAATATATATTATTTGAGGGTGATCCACTGATTGTTTTTTCTTTTTTGACACTTTTTTTGGCATTTTTTGATCTAGACGCCTTTTTTTTGTTCGTTAATCGCAGTTTTATTTTATACTTATTTTTAATGTATTATTACAACAACATCCAAATAAAACTAAAAAAAAAATTGAAAATTTTTACAATTTCATTTCATAAAAGCTGTACAATGCACATTATACTTACACAATTCATACTAAAAATGAGTTTGATTTATTTCTTCACCGCATCCACTTTTTTTTTCACCTATAGTTTGTCAAAAAATATGAACAAACAAAGTATCAAGAAATTTATCTTGATTTTTTTTGATTTTTAAAAAATGAAATTAACATAAAGAAACTAGAAATCTTGCTTTCTTTTACAAAAGAATTTCGAAGAAAAATTCGTAATATTGAAGTGCTTTTAAGTGTAAAGAAGAAATAGAAAAAAATAGAAAATCTCAGTTGAGGCTTGTCTGAAAAGTTTAATCTGATACAACTTGTTCAGTTCCAGCATCTTCTACAGAAGATGTATACAGAGCTTCAGGACGTCACCCCCCAAGCAGACAAACTTATTCGAAAACCCGTTTAAGCGCACAAAAAACGACGAAAAATCTAGAAAAAGTGGGCGTGTTTGAATCACAATCGGGGTTCCCGACTGTGAGCGAAAAACGCCCATTTTTCTCCGTTCTGCTGCGTTTATACGCGTTTCCAGCCAAAAACGCGTGTAAATGCATAAAAAAATTGGTCATTTTTTTCATACTCTAGAACCCTAATTATGATCCTGTCACTGGTAATGACTATGAGAAAAACGACCACTTTTTCTCTTTTGTTTATGCATTTACACGCGTTTTTGGCTGAAAACGCGTTTAAATGCAGCAGAAGGTCGAAAAATGGGCGTTTTTCGTTCACAGTCGGGAACCCCGATTGTGATCCAAACACGCCCACTTTTTCTAGATTGTGCGCTCCATATATAGTATAGTAATCATAGTTTGCTGAAGTGGAAATAAAGTGTAAGGTGCCGCCGAGAGATTGGCCACCAACTGGCCGGTTTTTTGCTGTTTTGAGAACGTTAACGCGCCGTTTTTTGTGCCGTTAACCAGACGTTAACCGTTTTTTTGGACTTGGGTAGTTGATCAAAAGAACACTTTGATGCCATTTTGATCACATAAAGAACACTAGTTCATATCGGAAAATTTATAAGAATACATTTTGCGATGAAATTCCAAGGAACACAGATCACAGGAAATTCGCCGTATACGGTAGTCGTAAACCGCCGTATTTCGTCGTAATACGACCGCAGTATACGGTCGTTTATGACCGTGTCTATTGGACCTGGGATGGTAATATTTGTAACTCGAAAAATATGTCATCGTGTTCTGTTTATGTCTAAAAAAACATCTAAATTTTCTATATAATGGTGATGTTCAAATAATAATATTTTGGTAATATTTTTTTATCAATACATATTTGAATCAAATAACTATCGGGATATATTATTTACTAATTACTGACTATCCTAAATTATGAATCTATCTGTAACTTACATATGTATGGATTCATATTATTCATTTACAGATAAATCGTTAATATTACTTGCAGACTGTGGATAACACCAATGATTCGATAAGAAATTCACACGTACAAATAGTTCGTTACTTTCTAACGAGTGCGGCAGAGGAATGGAGTCTTGTAATATTTCTCATTTTTCTCGTGTTCCTTTAAGACCTTAAGGTTAATGTTTTTTTAAAAGATGCCCCGCGAAATACTCTACAAAATCATACCTAAACTTTAATTTCAGAGCTTCAGTCAAGAAAATTAAGCAGACTATACGAAAGGCGAAAAAAAATGAAAACTTTCTAAATTTGGTATTTATTCGACTTGAACTTTGTTCTTCTGCTCATACTTCAGTAAAAAGTGTAGCAAAAGTGAGAACTCATTTCTTTTCGTACTTTTGGATGTGCTCTTTCTCGTGGTCTTTAAAAAATTGTTTTTAGAGCAGAGGAGGCGGTCGAGAAAGAAGTTTGAAAATACGTCAAAAATTGACAACCCGTTGTTTTCAGCAATGTGCTCAAGCAATAAACGGAAAACATGATCTAAGTTTTTATTTTGCAGTTAGAGCGATCATCGCTGATAAAAACAAAACAAATCTGATCAAAAAATCTTTCGTTTTGATGGGGTTATAAACTTTTTCTAAGAGCACCGCCATACGCAGAATCATTATAGCAAAATCGACTTTTTATACGCCGAACAGAATCGGCCCAAATTTTTTTTCTGAATACCTTATTGAATAAATGTACGGGCAGCAAAGTATCTCTTTATTCAAATCACTTTTCCCATTTTGGCGCGAATAGTGGCGCGTTATATTTTGGTGCCCGTACATCCATTTAATAAGGTATTCAGAAAACAAATTTGGACCCTGTTGGATTCTGTTCAGCATATAAAAAGTCGATTTTACGATAATGGTAAAAGATTAATGAAAACTGCATAATGACCGGTAGAAAAATTATTACTTCATCGTGGGTTTTCATGTGAAAAACTTTGAAGGGTAGCTAATCGATGGAACGATCCCAAGCAAAAGTACTGCAGTCGGAATATCTAGATGTTTTAGCTGGAGTATCGGCCAATATTTTTTACTCTTCTATCTAGATATTCCAGCTAGAGCATCGAGTTAGCTAGCGGCATCGGTCGATGTATTGCCCAATATATATAAAATGAACAAGAAAAATGTTACATTGTCTTCAAGTCGTTAACGTTATATTTCTGGCAATGAAATTGCAAGTGTCATCGAATTGGATGCATCAACATTACCAGTACCATCAACATAAGCTGTACTACCAACAGAAAATCGTACTACATACCATCAGAAGTACATACATACTGGCATTTAAATAAGTAGGATTCGGCAATAGACAGTGCGACATAGATTTATTTTGAAACATCAGCTCTGTTTTCTGAACAGAGAGAATATAGTTCAAATTTATATTGTGTTATATTGTATGACTAATAATATAAAGTGAAAATTTGTTGTATTTTACCAACATGTTGGACCTGATCTATTAATATCTGAAGACATCAACTGTGGTGATTGAAATCGTGATTATCGAGTTGAAGTATGAGATGTTGCCAGTATCTAATTTATTCGATTACAAAATTCTCAGGGAAATTGAACATGTGTGGCAAATAGATTTTTGTGTCATTTTTGTGTGCAGCTGTGAAATCAACACTCGACGATATGCAGTAAGAGTAGGACAATGCGCATTGAAATATTGATGCTTAGTCTCACAGTTCTTACAGTATTCATTTTTAGAGCCATGTGCCATAAGAGTAATACGAAAGCCTCTAAATACTATTTTTATAGGTTTTCGTATGCGCTCTTTCCAACTGTGTAATTGGCAAAGTTCAAAAACACTTTTAGTTGGATTTTCCAACGACTGGATCTTTGGAAAATCCTGATAAAAATATCTCTGAACTTATAAGCCACACTATTGAACAAAGCGCATACGAAAACCTATAAAAATAGTGTTTGGAGGCTTTCGTATCATTTTCATTAAATCGAACGATTTTTTGCGCATAAAAACATACAACTTACATATTATTCGATACGCTGATTCTAATTATATCATTAGCTTTTTATGAAATTTATTTCTGGGGTGAGAAACATGGATTTTACCTGAAAACTCCAGGTTTTTTGATAAACCTGTAACTCAGCTTAGGAGCATTTGGGTTATTTTGGGCTAACAGCATGGTTATATCGTTAGTAGACGCATCTTCTGTAAACATTTCATTGTATTTGGAGCTTCGGAAAAAGTCGAAAACCCACTATACCGATGTCTGCTCTTTGGTAACCACTTAATACCGAAACAAAACTTTTTTTCTCGCTGATAAAGCGTTCTACAAAAATTCTTTTTATGAGTAAATGGACTGGAAGGCCTAGTTTTGCGCTATGTATAAAACTTGCAAATATCATTCACTGTTTTGCCTAAAATAATTTTTGTATCATTATAGCTCTGTTTTACGACAAAAGTTTGCTTAGCGATTTTGTCGCTAATTATGACACCTAGAAAAAGCTTCCAATGGCAAAAAGATAGAACGTTTGCCGAAGTATATATTCTGCTATTTGACTTTGCCAAAAGTCCACTTTTGTTTTTTCACCTAATGTCCACATGGTTGCCCACTGTACATTCTGTTTACAACGAGTATATTCTGTATTTGATGTAGTGTCAATTTTATGTTATATAAACGACTTGTTTCCTGGGTGTCAGATAGAACAATTGAGGCTGATAAATACTATGAGTCAATATCTTGCTGATTTAAGCTGGATGGTACTTCTGTCACCAGAAGGGTACTTCCGCACAGGTCCGCCCACTTTATACACGACTTAAAGCCGGGAAAGTTTGACTGTATGTAATCGATAAAAGGTATGTAAAGACTTCTGTCGTCCCATGGAAACATTATTCCGAACACGGTTTTTTTCTTCCGCCATAAGTTCTGAATTGAAGCGTTTTTAGGGGTGCCAGAACAGCAAAATCCGATCTTACCTAATACTAATAAGCGTTCTCATACTGTTAGCTGTAAAGAGCATATAAAGTTGTATATTTCAATCCGCAAATGAGATTTTCTCCTCTGACATTCGGAAAGAATTTTTGACTGGAGGATCTTATCTGCATTAGCAGATATCACTCGTTTTATAACCTCCTCTAAACATATCCTCACACTCTGGCAATTTGTGAGGGATGTCTACGCAATAAAAAACTCGTTGATCAAATATTGACAGAATTATTAATTAATTAAGTTCAAAATTAATTGAAATTTTTGGTTTGACAGGCATCTTGTAAAACCTTTCTAGTTTTCGATATAAATTTTACATTCAACTGACTGGGATATAGTTTTATAGAGAATTGTTTGTAGATATAATTCCATACAAAAAAAGTTGAAAAACGATATCTCTGACCGTTTTTTAATTACTAATTAGTTCTGGTTAGCACTACTTAGTGGCACTCCAGTGGACAAAGTAAATTTTCCTAATGTCACAACAAATGGAAGCA